TGGATGAAGAGGTGTGAGAGCGGTTCTTGAAATTGATTATAATTAATATGTTTCTTCGATTTTCATCAACAATCATTGAAAAAGAAAATATTCTGAACTTATGGAGGTTTTAAGGGGTCTTCGCAGTTGCGATGGGCGCGCGGGTGAGTGGAGTGTAAAATAGTCAAGTTAGGGAGGTTAGTTTCGAGAGAGACGGGACATCAAACATGGCGTATGTTGGATAATGACAGACATCGCCAAGGTATTTTTATCGCTAATCTATTGAACAAATCAACGATAAAGCCCTATGAAACTTCGTGATCACATTTTTCAGGGCTTAATATAAATAAATACAGCTGCCTTTGCTGGCTAGCACCTTGTCAACAGTGTGAGGGGTAACGGACAAATTGGCGTTCATAAAGCCGTGTATAAGGCGATATTTCACTAATTAATTAGACGCGAACGAAACCATAAAACTACTTAGCATTTCTTTTACAAATTCTGTTTTAAAATTTTTGATTATTATATGATATATTTAATTCGCTAGCACCTTGTCGTCTTTTGGGCAAAAGTACTGCGGAGACCCCTTAAATAATACGTTCAAGAAAAAAAACTGATTCTTCTTTGATTATCTAATAATTCAGAAGAGATGACTCAATTCATTGGAGACATGATTTTAAAAAATGTCGAGTCCAATCTGAAAGTCAGTTTTCAAGAAATACCTCGGAATTCCACAGATTTATAACAAATGTCATTAGAACGTTCTTCCATACCTTCCACCTGCTCTACACAAATCCCCCTCTGTTTCCCTCGGATTCAAAGATATCCATCGAAAATTCCAATCCAAATCGATTCGCCTCATCTCCCTCCACATTTCAACTGAACTCTATTCTGAATTAGTCAAAAATTCCCTAAATAACAGGTGTCATATCACTCTCACCTTTAGCCGGGGACCCGCGTCAAGCGTCGACCAAAATCAATAAAAAATCAAAATTCCAGGAAAAAAAGGTTCAACGGTGATAGGGAATTTCATCCCCAGTTTCAGATTAACATTCTTGACATATTCACCACTAAAAAATTTATACGGAACTTTTACAGATAGTGTGACGAAAAAAGTCCTCTAAATTCATAAAAATTGGAAGAAATTTGAAATTCAAATCAACAATTATCAAAATGTCTTCATTATAAAAATTCCAAAAATAAATCGTAAAATTAATAGAGAATTCTGCTGGAAATTTCAAGGTAGATCTCTAGAAATATTCAGCACTATAACCAATTTTTACAGAATTTATACAGAATTCTCACGGATTTTGTGATTGCAAAATCAGTCAATTTCATAAGAAATCAAAGCACACTTCAGTTCGCTAGCGAAGCACTAAAACGATTCAAGCAGATTTAGGACACAGCTGAATTTTTGAAGAATTTCTCCGAGTTCGAGGGAGATAACAAAATTTTCGTGATGACCTTTTTTTTGTAGAGCGAACTGAGGGCCATAAAAATATTTTAAGAAAAATTTTGCTATCTTCCTATGATTCCGAGATATGAATTGAAAACTGGTCAATAATCAAAATTGACGTAACGCGTTTTACCGTTTCGCTACTGAATTTCATATTGATATGATAAAAACGTCATAAAGGTATGAAGAAAATATCGAAACTCAAAACTAACAGCCAATTGTACTGAAAATTACCTCAAAATTCTTGAAACATTTGCTTACATTCACACTATTTAATCAATTAATATAAAATTTTAATAGATTTTATGACTGAAAAATCCATCAACTAAAAAAAATTTGAACCCAGTCCGTCGAAGAATTCCCAAATTCTAAAATTCAAATTTCCCTCCACACTGTTAAAAATTTTCGTCTGAATTTCCACGACAAATTCTGAAATTTTTTATCGTGTTCAAGTGCCACTGAAATTTCAGGAAATCTTGGCATTGAAAAATCAAATGTTCCATTGATTTTCTGTTCAAATAATCTGAAAATTAATAAAATACTTGACTTTTCAGTTCAATTCAGTAGCGAAGCGGTAAACAGGTTCAAGTCGACTTAGACGATTGATCAGTTTTTAATGAATATCTCGTAACCTAAGGGAGATAGCAAATTTTTTGTAATAACCTTTTTTGTAGAGTGAATTGAGTGCTAGAAAAAAGGTTATAATGAGAATTTCGATATTTCGCTTAGATTCGAAGATATTTCTCGAAAACTCAGGGAAGAGTTAAGTCTACTTAAATCGGTTTACTGCTTCGCTACCGAATTATTCAGTGAAAATTCATAAAAATCGGGAAAATTCAGAGAAAAATTGAAAATTCATGTCATTTTGTTTCTGAATATTCACATTCCACTACAAATTTAATCAACTTGTGAAATTTCCATCTCACTCCCACTGAAAACTCATGAATTCCCGTGAGGTCTCCTTAAAACTTGAAATTTCATATCCATTTTTTCCCTAAATCCGATGCAATGTCACTCTCATGAGATTTACTATAATATCTTCCTCGAAATTTCCAAAAATTTCTAACAGTGCAATTAAAAACAAAATCCTCCAATCCTTCATCTCCCCCACAAACTCCACCTCAGCGCCAGCTTAACCCCACTACTCTTCCCAATCACCTCCATAAATTCCCAAAAAATCTCAAACTTTCACCAGAAAATTTCCCTCTAAAATCCCCCCCCCCCGCACACAATCCGCCCACGACTGCACCTCACATGCCATCCTCCAGCCTCATTATCTCCATCCTCCAACTTCCCCGAAGAAATAAGAATGTCATTATTGCAGTGTCCGATAGTGCATTTAAAAAAAGTTGTCTTCCCGAGAACAGAATCTCATCGGTCGTGGGCAACAAACAAGAAACCCCCACCAAAGCCCCCACCTAACCGTGGGCCCAACGCACAGCCGTCAGGGCCACCACAGCAGCAGTGAACAGCAGCCAACCACCTCAACTATACCACCTTATATTACGCTCGGCGCAGAGGGGCGAGGGGAAGCGAGACCCAACACCAGCAGAACCGGTTTTTCTTACGCTAAAAAATACTATAGTGAACTCAGCCAGACGTCCCACCAACAGTCCCTGGAAGGGGGAATTAAATCCATCGAACAAGAAGAGTCAGAGTCAGAAGCTATTTTTCTAGACGAATAATTCAATAATATTTTTCCCTCCATTATTCGATGGCTCGATAAATCCGCAGTCCTTGAACCTATAAAAGGCCAAATGTTGTGGTTCACGCGTGGGAATAACGAAATAATACTCCCCCCCCCCCCCCCCAC